GGCTAATTTTTCTATTTTTAGTACAGATGGGGTCTCCCTCTTGCTCAGGCTGGTCTCGAACTCCTGAGCTCAAGCGATCCTCCCGCCTTGGCCTCCCAGAGTGCTAGGATTGCAGGTGTGAGCCACCGCACTCCTCCTCTCCACTGGGCTATCAAAGTGTGTGGTTTCCACAGAATCCTGAAATGTATGCCAGGAAAGGGCACGTGTGGGCCAAGCTAGCAAGGCTGAGGCCCTTTTGCTGCGTCGAGTAAGTCAGGCCAATGGTTAGAGGAGGAGAAAAAGTGAGGAGGAAGAGGCAGAACAATTGATTTTTAAAGCCAATTTCTCTATAAGAGAACCGTGGACTCACATCATTGCTAAGTAATCAGATGCAGGGCAAGAATGCCAGTGGCCTGGAGGGCAAGTGAGCTGTGCACACCGGTGTTTATCGTGCTGTTCGGAGATAAGTGGTACTAATGGCCCCTTGAGTGTGTTATCAGCCCACTCTTAGCACAGCCCTGCCAGTAGCCAGAGGGGCACAGCGGGCCTGCAGTTGAGATGGGCAAAGAGAGGAGGACCTGGAAGAGGAGGAAGGAAAGACTACACATCATTGAGGCCACCTCTCTCTGCCTAGAAGCTTCTGCCTGTTGAACTTAAAGGGGCAGGGTGTCCTATGGGCCCTGCATTTGCCCCTTTGCCCCTGAACTGCACTGCCAAGGGGATTTTGCCCTCTGACCGGGCACAGGGAGGGAAGGCATCAGTCAGGTTTGGGCAAGAGTGAGCTGACGTGTCCGTAAAGGAGCTCCTGATTGTCTGGTTCCATCACAGCGCTTTTTCTCGTTGACAATCACCATGAGGTGTACCTCTGGCAAGGCTGGTGGCCCATCGAGAACAAGATCACCGGTTCCGCCCGCATTCGCTGGGCCTCCGACCGGAAGAGCGCCATGGAGACAGTGCTCCAGTACTGCAAAGGTGAGGCTCTCCCAAGGCATGGAGCCCCTCCGCCCACCAGCCAGCCAGTAGCCCTCAGGAGCCCCAGACACCTTTACCCTCTCTGCGAGTGTCAGCCAGCATTCTTAAAACCTGGCAGGTGGCAATGAAACCAGTTTCTTCCCCCTTTTTGAGGCTTATTAATTTTTAAATTAGTACATTCTCCATTGCCGGCATGAAGGAGAACTAGTTTTTCTCTCTTGTATTATGAGGCCATCGAAGTTGCTACCCTCAAGGTTAAAGGCCACATTGTGGATGCCCTGGACAGATTAAAATCCTGGTGCACGCGGGATTAATCCTGCGGTGAAACAAGCCCGCCTCCACCATGCACGCTATCTGCCAGCAGGGCCATGCGATTGGGGAATAGAAGTCTCCCCGCAACTGGCCATAATGCCAACCTTTTTTATTTTTCATCATTGTTGTTAGTATTATATCCAAAAAGAAACCTGTAGTAAGTATATGGTTTTTTTACTATTCCGTCCACCTGAAATTTGTGGTCTTTTATATAAGATAAAGAGGCCAATAATTAGTTTCTCATCGAATCTTTATGGTTTCATTGATACTATTAGGTTAATATCACTGAGTATGTACCATTAACTCTCTTCTTGAAAAGCTCTTTAGTAATAAATAAATTATTAAACTTACCACCAAATGTTACAGCTAAAGTAGACTTATGAAATGCTGTCATTAGCTGTCTAATCATATGGAAGTTAATCCCGCATTAGGAAGTCGGAGGAATGCTTCTACAGGTGAAGGCAAGAGGGAGAAAATGTCCCACCCAGAAACTACAGAGAGAGGCTTTCTCCCTTCCAGGGATCCAGAGCGTTTTGTTAGGGGCGGGAAGTATAGAGTCAGGTGGATTATATGCCACTCTAATAGTTTTAGGCATAAAATTACCGTTTTATAGAAGCGTTATCCATGTGTTGTTATGAACTACTCATGACTTGTCTTTTAATCATGAAGTCAAGAGTTCCGAACAAAGAAGAAAAAAGCCTTCAAGGGCAAGACAGGGTCCTTGGTTCTCTACTGACAGCTGTGTTCTGTGTAACTACAGGGAAAAATCTCAAGAAGCCACCCCCCAAGTCTTACCTTATCCATGCTGGTCTGGAGCCCCTGACGTTTACCAATATGTTTCCCAGCTGGGAGCACAGAGAGGACATCGCTGAGATCACAGAAATGGTGAGCGTGTTGCCTGGTCTATGAAGGAGGCTCCTCCACCTTTTGGATTGTGGGTTGACTTTGATCTTGGGGAGAAGCATCCAATTGTACTTTCAAAGTGAGAAAATATTTTTTCTTTTGCAACATGTTAACAAGTCTACATAGAATTAGCTTAGGAAGAAGAGAAGCCTGATGGGAAATCAATTGTAACATTTCTAAGGAATTTTCTACACATGGGACTCAAATTTTATTGATAAAAATGTAAAAGCAAAGGTGAATTTCATTACTTTAAAGACTGTATATACATAAAAGCTGCGAGCTCCTCATTCTCTTAGCTAAAAACCTAGTGCTTGGTGTTACTTCTCAATGTCCATATAATGCACAACGAAATCCTCATGTTTCAGACATCACGACGTAGATCTGTGACAGATATATATGTTCAAATAACCAAATGAATGGATGTATTATGACTCATGTTAAGGTATTGGTCAACATCTCATTAATATTGTCTTTTATGAGACCACCTGGTATTTCCACAAGGCATTTATCATAACTTCTATCTACCAAAATATATTGTCATCCAGAATGTTTTATTGTCCAACCACACAGAAACGAAGCTTACTACAGCTATGTCGAATTTCTTAGTTTATGAGTTACTAACATTGCTGGCAATAGCATGTCCAAGGGTTTTTTTGGTTTGGTGGGAAAGAGGTTTTTTACATTTTGATTTTGTGAGCTGCTTTTCTGGGGGAAGTGACCTGAGCGTGTTTTATAGGAAATCTGAGTGATGTTAAACAGGGTTCACTGTTGCATAGCAGTGGAGAGAGCCTGCTTGAAAGTGCAAATACCGCTGCTCACCCTGACCTGTCTCCCTTTCGCCGAAGGGATTTGATCTACACGGGGAAGGGGTTCAGTGCAGCCTAATCTCTGACACGGCGAGATGGCTCTGTTCACAATAAACATGGGATCACGAAGCCTAAAAGCTCTAGGGATTACAAGTGCCGGGGCTGCCGTGCAGTCTAAGTTCAAGGACATAAATCACAATCATTTTCCTGTATCCACTGCAGGTCGTGGGGGCCGGCAGGGGGCCATTTATTGTGTAGGCCTGCAGCGGGGGGTTTCAGCCGGAGGAGAGTTGGGTTCCCCACACGAGCACGTTAGATGAACAACTCACATTCACCGAGTGCTACTCTGCAGTGGGCACAGCTCCAAGCACGTCACATTTATTTTCTTGTTCAATTATCACCGTAGTCCATCAGGATCTATCTCATTATTATCCCCATTTTTCTGATGTGGGAGCAGAGGCACCAAAACTTGAAGTCACTTGCCCAAAGTCTCAGAATCAGTGGGTAGATGAAGCCGGTACCAGACGTAGGCAGGTTCACTCCACAGCCCGCCTCTTCGACCACGGTCTGTCCATATATTGCCCACTTGGGTAACAACTCTTAGTCGTTCATTCCTTCATCTACCCACACGAATGGCGGGCGGCCAATCTGGCATCCCAAGTCTACCCAGAGTAGCCTGTTCAGACTAAATGC